TGTGTTGACTGATGAGTAATCATAACAATTCGTCGCCGCAGAAGCAACCAGATATGTAGGTAGATCTAACGATGGTATCGCAGCTTCGAGAACACCAACCAGGACGCGGTACTAAACATAACCGACATCGACGCCGTCACGCAGGGACTCGCCAAGGTCTGCGCGCTCGAGGGCGCCATCTTCGGCATTGGCGACTCATCGTCCTCGACGACGTCCTCCGCAACGACCGCAACGACCGCAACAGCCGCAGCAACTCCTTCGTCTTCGACCTCTAGCGGTGGCGTCCTGCGCATATCGCTGTCTGGGCTGGCATTCGCCGCGATGGCGGTACTCCTCGGAAATGCGTGGTGCCGAAGTGAAGCAGGAATGCGCTACCGGACCCTCCGCTGGCAGCAAGTGGAAGGTCCCACCTACCATGCCTTTCTGTTCGAGAATCCTTGTTATCGACGATGGGCTTCCAAACGTCCGTAACATGTTCGATCACGTAGTCGAGGAAGTTGACATCGTCAAGATCCGGTCGGAGGTATTTCCAGGCATGGAATGTGACTGGCTTCCTCTTTTGAAGGATTCTGTCGCCGCCGGAGATCAACTCCCAATCTGGCGGTATATCCACCGCCCATGTAGCACCCCTGCTGTGCACGAACTGCGATATTGGTACACGGATAGCTGGAAAATATCTTACGCAGATGTTTTTACTATGGCTGCCGCCAGCGCATTGGATATTCCTCGACATCCACAGCGCATCGGTATGTCGCATTTACTCGCTTTGCACTCGCTAATTAAATCGACAGTTATTCATTCTCTTGTCCTCCACATAGATGTGGAAGAAGAACACTCGGGGGTGTTCGGAAAGCACACCGTTCGCAGCGCTAAAATGATGTCGTTAGCGGAGCTCCGACCATTGTTCCATGATGACGCCCTTATCATGCAGGCTAAACTCTTCCCTCAGCACAATATCCTTCGAACTGCCATTCGGGCGCAATATTCAAGTTTTGGGAGTGGACATGAGCCAAGTTCTTGATCCTCGGACTTCATTGCCTTACCACTCAAACTGGTTCACCCTTCTGAAGAGAATTGTTGAGCAGTAAAGTGCGCGATTCCTTGCAGCGGGCCGTACACCTGCTCACCTTGTTTAGTCCGGCCGTCGCCAAATTATACGCTGTCAATCCGAGAGGATCTTTTTCGTCGATACGGAGCGTTCTCCGTTTCTGCTGCCGTTATAGTTTGGCGTCTTTCCAATGTTGCATGTTGCGTTTCTGACCACAATCGTCTTGTTTTTCGCTATCCCTTGCCCTCAACCTCGAAGTTTGAGTAAGTAACTACATACAATTATGCAACGCCCCATCCTCTCGGGTAGAATGGGACCCCAGAACACGAGAGCACGATTTAAAATAAAATAAAATGAACTCACAGCCCAGAGGGCATAAGCAACCCATGTCCCACGCGCTTGTCAACGGGTTCGGGTTCCTTAACGGGTTCGTCTCCCAGTCGGTTAGCGCTTAATTAAGGGATGTTCAATTACCGTACTGGCTGCCCAAAGCTGTTTCCTGAATAATTGCCGTCGAGGATGCTCCCTTCGCCAACGTAACCGAAAATTGGCAAATCCCAGTTGCACCCATAAGGGCCATCCCCTTATTGTCGGTGAGTCTATATTATAAACAAAATCAAACGGCCCGCCGACGGGAAGGGTTGGCCGACAGCAAGTTCCCGCTCTGCTAAACCTAGAGTCGACGGGTGAGATGTATTGGTATTGCGACCACCATGACGTGACAGTGGACGGAGACCGGCACGCAAGAGAGCCCGTAGCATCAGATATGCCCTCTTCAGTTCCATTGAAACGATCCGGGCGTTATCGCAAGTGGCGAACATTGCCCAAAGAGAACTCGCGAAAAGAAACACCCAAAGACAAAATAAATCACGCCCTGTCATGCGACCCTTCAACAAACAAAACACCTCGCCGAGAGGCAGAATTTGAGATTTGTCATTCGAAAGCTGTATTACATCCTACATGCCGTGGACCCAAAACAGAGAAGGACGGTACGCTTCTGAATCCAATTTATCAACATTATTTACTGCTAGAACAATAAGTAAGATGCACACACACTGAACATAACCTGCATCCAGGGCTGATTTCATGAAATTCGATTTAGTATGGGAGCCATTCGCGCCAAAATGAAAGCAGGGACAATCTGAAATGCGTCGGAAGTTATTCGCTACGAAACAACAGGAGGTGAGCGAATATTCATCTAGCGGAAACAGAATCACTGACAGTGCGTTGGAATCCTCGTCAACCTCGACGTCGCTGTAACTCTCGAATTCGTAATACCGACGGAAAGTGATCTCGCGAATGGAAGGGAATGCACGCCGATAGGAGTTCTTGAATGCTATTTTGTGTCCTGTAATGACAACGCTGCGAAGGTTGCAACCGGAGTCGGATAGAAATGATTTAAGATACTCGATTGGGTCCGGCCCAAGGAATTGTTCCGGAACTTGGAGCATCGAGAGAGCAGGGACAACAAAGGTGTGGAGATATCCTGTCACCGGGGAAGTACCCTCCCCCGCCAACATGATCAAAGTCTCTAGCTGGGGAAGCGAAGTGCTGGGAAGGATTTCAGGCACGGCAGGGGGATGAGGCTGGTGCAGAACCAAATGACAATGGACCAAGTGCAGTGTTTGCTCCAGGATGGGGAAGCAATCGTGAGGATACACCGAATATAAGGTGAGTGATGTCAACTGGGACCACGGCAAAGTGATAGCCCTGGCAGTAACTTCATTCAACGTAGCGCTGCGTAACGACGGCGCTTCGAGAACGGAGAGAGCTTCGCGGTAGCCGAGCATAATCCGTAGACTTCGAAGAAGGGGCATTGCGCCTGCAAGAATGGGATAACTGGACGGTGCATAGTCGAGGCTCAAGTGCTCCAAGCGTGAGCGGTGAGGAAGGACTGTATTCATGAACCCAGTTCCGCCCATTTCTGGCCCATTCCCAACATCTCTAAGGGAAAGGGGATAGGAGCGAGATCTGCTGAACCACGTAGCACAGATGTCGATTCGTGACCGGACGGCGGAATTTGTGGCCCTCCACGGATGGACTTCGGATAGATCTATGGCCCTCCACAGAGCAGGGGTTCCCAGTGCTATGTCGCGCCATAATTGGCATATGTGAGTGAGGAGAGTTGGCGAGGGAGGCCCAACAAGTGGCGGACAGAGGGGATAGGCGGGAAGGAACTGGTGAAATATCTCCAAGATGATTTCGGTCGGCAGCGTTAGGAAGGGGTACTTGTATGAGTCGAGTCCCGCCTGTACCCGTTCCTTTGCGACAAACAATTTGGAAATGGCCCGGATGCACATCTCAATTTCGAGTTGGGCGTCGATTGCTGCGAGGCGCGCACGATCTGCCGCGAGCGAGGCGAGCATGGCGGCAATGAGGGTGGTCCCTACACTGCAAAGGACGTGGCGCTCGCGGCCCGCTCACGGAGATACAAGCGCCGTCACGGTCGGTGGCTTGGTCGGTGGTAAGGAAGAAAAAGATGAGCACCGCCCCAAATCGTCGGCCGACTGATCGGGGTTATCGGGCGGTTCAATTTATGAGTTTAAAACAATGCTGCATATTCGAGGCATCTTATTGACTGCTGTGAGGACTATAGACTGGGGCCCCAAACGTAAAGGATGGAGATGAGAAATTCATGATCATCGCAGTGCACTGTGCGGGAGTCTCGCGGCATTCTGCCTCGTCTTACCTCAATCTTCAAGTCACTCGTGATCATGGGAGAGAAAACCATGGGCAGTTAGAACCTCCCTTGTCCGTTAAAATATTATCGGAAGAAACTCATCCCGACTGAGATCACGGGGGTGCGAAAACATGATTATAATACTCCGACCGTTCACTTGTTGACTCAGCCTCGCGACCACAGACTTCCGGTCTGATGGAGAGTGGTACAGCAGTGAGCTGAATATGTTTCATGCTGATTTTGCGCACCTGTGCGTATACATGTCTGTATACAGCACCGATCGGACTTCTCGGGCATGTTCAACTCCTGTCCGTAAGTCATACATACCCTTGATTGCAAGGAATTTCTGCAAGCTGCCCTTTAGGCCCAGGGGCTGAAAGCGAAGCAGTGTCTGGAAACATTCGGTTCCGACTTCTAACTCACCGAGGCTCAGCACCCTCGGTACCCTCAGGCTGGGCAGCCTGGTTCAACCATCGTAAATTTAGAGTAACCTTCTACAGGGCTTAAACTTTGAATGCCAGACGCTGTTATGAAAGGCATGACTAGCACATTATGCTCGGTTGAACAAGCAGTTTGTCTACACCCTGCTGAGGGGGTGTCGGAGGCACAAGTTGTGAACCTCTGACGAGGAAATAAGCCTGGCATGGGTAAAGACAGAGTTTTTTTGAGAAACTGGGTAGAGGAGTTCAAAGTGTCAGCATCCAACTGTAACCGAATTTTCCTCGCTTGGAGGTGGAGATTTATATTGTGTAGGATCCGCTTAATGAGGTCTAGGGTTTCTGAAGACGTTGGGTAGTATATAGGACACCTTGAGGGAGTGTAGGAAAACCCCTTCATGTGCCCCAAAGGATACCGAAGAATAAATTCGGTGAAGGTTGAACCGTGGGATTGAAGCGTTTGATGAAATCAATTCGTGAGGAAGCTTCTCCCAACAAGTACACGGTTTATACCCGGCATTCGCAGTTCATTTACGGGATGGGGAGGTTGAAAATTGACAGTCGGGCCGCCAGAGATTCATATTCGAGGTGGCATAAGTCCTTGAACCGCATGCCTTTCTGATGTTCAATATCGTTGTGTTCCCGATCAATACAATAGCCTCCGCCGACTGGCCTGGGACGGAGTCAAGCAACGGATTCATTATCACTCATTTGTAGACGGGATGTTTGTGAAATGGCCTTGGGGTTTATTTACGCAGGGCAGGCGACGATTGCGGGAACTGATGGAGTGCGTAGGATTTGCTATTATAGCACAATCAGTTCACAGGCCTTTAACGGGCACATGGTGTAGTTGGTTATCACGCTCGCTTAGCATATCAAGCGATTGCGAGAGGTGTTGGGTTCAATTCCCAATGTGTCCACTTCTTTTTGCATCTTTTTGTATCTTGTTGGCATTTTCTTTTTAGCATTTTAAACTTCAGGTTTATACCTTCCTCTTCTTCCAGAAAGCCTCTTAGAGACCCTGCCTAGTCTTCGCCTATTTACAAGTGAGCTTTGGAAACTTCATGGTCTTCTGGTCATTACCCTTGCTTTTGTTTTGGTCAGTGAGTCTGCGAAGAGTAAGTACTAGTGCCAATGGAACCGTCAACAATTGGCTAGCCTACCTCTTTCAAAGGCATCAATTCAACGCGCGGAATGTGTACGGGAGGACCGTGTCGCTTGAGCCGTGGGGAAACTGCACACACGCGGGAACTTACATTGTCGTCCGTTAGTTGAGTCCTCTGATTTTTTTGCAGATGGTTTCGTCAGGTCCTTTAGAGACGTTTAACAGATACAGTGGTCATAGAACTTGGAGGGGGATGGAAAACTTGAGACTAAATACACGCGGGTCCTGTGGCTTCCGTGGGTAAAGTGCAGGTCCCGATTGTGCCCTGCATGTACGCGCGGCTGTCTCGGCATTGCGGCTTGAGAGGTGCCCGAGCTACGATCACTGCGGCCTCCGGATCACAGCGGGATTCACTTCGGCCCCTTGCGGCAAGTGTTTAATTTGTAGGTTCCCGTTTGGATAAGATCCTGGACCGGCCTAAGCAGGAACCAGATCTACTCAGAAGATCAAAAAACAGGTAGCCAATCAGACTGAGCTCCGACTCGCTCGTTCGATTTTTTTTTTCAGTTTCAATTCGGCACCTTTTGGGTTCCCGCAATTTGGCAGTCTTTGGGACACACGTCGAGCCTGATGTTGAATCTTGATTTTGAAGGGTGAAGTCGGAATGAAGTTAGGTCAAAGCTAGGTTATCCCGAGTAAAAGAACAGAAATCAAAGAGTATCTCTGGTTGGAGGATCGTCCTGCGGCTGCACCCGACGGCGGTTCTCACTTTGGCCGTCCCGCAATACTCCCTTGCGAGGTCAAGACACCACCACAAATTGGCGTCCACATCTCAGACAACTAAGGGCATCTCAAACACGGGCGAGCATTGATCCCATCATCAATCAGTGACGGCATGATCTCATTTTGGCGCTCTCCATCTGGGAAATGCCTAATGTCTATGGCGGTCTTGGCTAGACGCGAGAGACCAGATAGGTAGATAGACTGCCTCCCGTCTATACAAGTCATGGATAGACAGGCCGTGTCTAAGGTAGACCGCGCTAGACCGATAGTCGCGTAGAGGGATAGACAGATAGACTCGCGTAGAGATTTGTTACGGCACCCAGATGTTGAGTTCGCCCGAAGCAATTTGATCAGTTGTCCACTTCTTTCGCGCCCATCGTGGAGCTTCCAATTGCCTTTCTTATTCAGAGCGAGGAGTAGGAGAAAAGCAGAGTATTGAATTTGGCAGGAAAGTACTGTAGGATAATATACAAGAGATTCAACTACGACGGGCTCGCTAATAGTACTCGAGGAACCTAAATATAATGATACGGCAGCCTCAGAGATGGTCGTGTAAGAGAAGACTAAGACCCTCCATAGACCAATGACCTACCCCGGAACTGGCAGTGGTATCGTGAAGAAGAAAGAACGGGAGACTTGGCAAAGTACGGTGAGACGACACCGGACTTATATATTCTCTCGGCAACGGACTTGATGGAATTTTTCTGCAAGTCAGAGGCGACGGCTGTCTCCTCAATGGGCAATGCAAGATCTAGACATTGGAGCACCAGAACGTCCAGATGGGACAATAGGAACCTGGAAGTTTTGACGCACGCGTGAAGATCTCTAGCCGAGTCTAACGCCGGTCTATCCGCATGTGACCGTGTCTATCACTTACTATCTGCCTATACCGGTCTTCCGTAGACTCCTCGGTCTAGCCTAGATATCGCATCTCTATCCCGCCAGAATGCGTTTCCAGATGTCAGAGGCTTGACATCCACCCACATCCGCCTCTCGCCGTTGCGCTGCGCTCACCAGGGACCGACGCCTAGCAGCGGACAATTAGAACAAAGAAGCAGGATACGCGCAAAGGCTGGGTTGTTACACGACGTGATGCAGAATACTGTACTATTACGACCAATGGTTCAGGTGACGGGTGACAGAGGGTCATGAACTGAACCAATTGGTGTAGGTGACGGTGACATTTGAATTTTTGGACTCAAATAGGGGTAGAAACTGTCAAAAATCTCGGCCGGCAGGTGCCGGGGGCTGCCGATCGTCCATTTATGGTAATTTCTGCTGATTGCCGACCAAGGAACCTTTTAACCAGTGAACCCTTGCGGTGACGGGTGACACCCCGTGAACCTTTGGTCGTAATAGTACAGTACAGGTGGGTTTGCATTTTCGGCAAGGGTATAGGCAAGGTACAGGGCGTCTGGAACGCGTAGTTTTGGCGAGTCGGTGGCTGGTGGTGCTCTCGGGCACGCCCTGGCTATATCGGCCTCCGAATCTCCTCCTTTTTCACGCGTTGCGCGGCACAGGGGTCTTGACATTACGCAGGATATGAACCGTGACTGTGCGGTCGCGTCGACGCGTGTTTCTGGGCATCTTGTGCTTTTTTTACATCTCCCGTCTCCCCATTTATATTCTTGGGTTACGCTCACACATTTCCACTACAGAAGCCTCCGAAAACCGTGACAACGACAACTCTGGATTCCACAGCAATGAAACGACACAACGACCCTCGCATGCCTCCGCCCACACATTCGCGCCCTCGCGCTCCTCCTTCGGCCTCTATGACACCGACGCGGACGCGTTTGACGCCCACGCCCTCCCGCTGCTGACCCGACACGAACAACGACATCAACAACAAGGACACCGGCAACAGCAACAGCAACATGAAGAGATGCAGAGATTCTCAGGAGCGCACACCCAAATCGAGCAGATACACGAACACGAGCAAGAGACGGAGATGGAGACTTGGAATCATGATTTTGCGGAGGATGAGGATGACGAGGTGGATGTGGATAATGGGGAGCAGATGCACGAATACGAGCAGGAGACGGAGAATCGGACTGAACATTTTGCGGTGGTTGAGGATGGTGGGGGGGATGTGGATAATGTGGAGCAGATGCATGAACACGAGCAGAAGAGGAAGAATCGGGACGATGGGTCCGCGGAGGATGAGGATACCGAGGGGGATATGGATAATGGGAGCGAGTACGAGCCGGCATCGCCGCCGCTCGACGAGGAGGAGACGATGATGCCGGACGCGAACACCTCTGTTTTCGCTGCGGGGTTCATGCAAGCTTTTCAGGATCTGTGGGACAACCCCGAGGTGTTCGATGAAGAGGAGTATGGGCGCGAGTTGGCGGAATGGGCGTCGCCGGACGCGGGGGAGACGTGGGACGAGCGCGAGCTGAGGATTAGGCAGGAGTTGGTCGACAAGGCGGGAGTGATGGGAGCAGACGGGAAGCCCGAGACGTGGTACGACCGCGAGGTGAGGATTAGGCAGGAATTGGTCGACAAGGCGGGAGTGATGGGAGCAGACGGGAAGCCCGAGACGTGGTACGACCGCGAGGTGAGGATTAGGCAGGAATTGGTCGACAGGGCGGGAGTGATGGGAGCAGACGGGAAGCCCGAGACGTGGTACGACCGCGAGGTGAGGATTAGGCAGGAATTGGTCGACAGGGCGGCAGTGGTGGACGAGACTTAGGGTCATCGGGACCGGCGGATAAACGATCGGCATGACGAGGAAGAGAGGCGAATGAAGGAGGAGCTTGAGGAGTCGGGCGAGACGTGGGGCGAGCGCGCCAAGCGGCCATACAAGGAACTTGACGAGAAGGAGGTCAATGAACGAGGAGCTTGAGGAGAGAAGAGACGATGGATGTCGCTAACTGACGTCGTAGTAGTTCTTTTGTCACCGTCCAATCTGTACGGTTCCCAAATCGTCCCACAAGTTATCCCCCGCGACCCAGCGGGTGAGGATCATCCCCTTTCGCAGACCTCTCCAGGGTCCACTAACTGTGTTTAAGGGTCCACTAACCGTGTTTAAAGTCATCGTCAATGCTAGGTACCGTGGTTGAACTTGAATGTTTCATTGTGTCCACGAGAAGCGAGGAGCGGAGATTAAATTGAACCAGGAAAAGGGAGCTAAAGCGCTCGATGACTGCACATATGTATTGTCGCCGTGCCCACAGACAGGGGGTAATAGTGAACGCGGACCATCCGCAGGCTACTGGGATATACATACTGTAGCTGTGAGCCCGGGTACATGCACAACTCACAATATCGCGCCTGCCCTGGTGCAAACATAAGTGACCCACATTGAAAACGAAACCATTTTTTGCGGAGAAACATGGTGCAGAACTTGAAACGCGGTTTGTTGCGTATGTGGTTCATGAGGCGAGGATCTGCCGGGGCCAGCCGAAAGAATTCTCACGGTTCAAGTTGGGCAGCCAACACGAAAACGGGACTCACAGAAGTATCAATGGGGGTTAGTGTGTGCTGCGTACACTATCCCAGTGCCCGGTTGAGTGCGGTTGAATGTGAACCACCATCACTGCAGCGTAAACAATGTTCAGACACGGACAGTCAAGTCGGAGGTAGTACCGCATTCAACTTGAGCGCTTGAGCCCGCAGTGTAATGACCTTGGCTGGAGTGTCCTTCAGTGCTCTGGTCTCCATGGAAAAAATTACATCGACACATACAACACACGCCCCGGTCTCGAATCGAACGGGTCCCATCAATGATAGTGGGTGCGGAACATCTACCACCAGGTTCACTAGCTCTAGGCGTGTGGGTGGATAAGTTTGTGCGTTTAAAGACATTTTCAATGGTTGAGGTTTTCAACCGCCGAACGTTGACGCAAGGAGAGAGACTCTGAATCGGGACAGGCTGACCGTTGAACTTGGATGAACTTGACTTAGAGGTCGGTTTTTATTCTGTTTTAAATGAGGATGGGCGAAACTGAACCTATTGAATCAGGTGCCCTGGTCTTGATTAGACATAGAAAGCCAGAAAGAGAAAAAACTCCACTGGGAAGCCATCAT